GCTCGCCAGACAGAGAGAGACAGAGAGACAGAAAGCGAGAAATCACCCCCCAGGGGGGATGACCACGTCGCAATCCCTTCTCCTCCTTTCTCCTCTCGGAATCTTGGGCACGCATGCACACGTGCCCGGCATGAGTTAAGGCCTCCGGGTCCGGGACTCGAACCGTAGTTAACTACGTGGGAGTCCAGCGACATAGCCATTACGCTAACTGCTGGTCCCTATTGACTCTTTCTTTTGGTGCTTCTACTCTATCATTGTGTTGATTTATTGCATTTTATTATTACAGATATTATATCTTTTTACTTCTAAAATTTTCATTTGGATCTTTTTATAATTATTATTTTCTTACTACATTGCCTACCTTTTAATTCATTACATGAATATTTTCTGTTACATCCCTTTTAATTTACAGGTATAAATTGCTGCTTTAAAGTCTTTATCCGATAATTCCAACAACTGGATTTTCTTGAATAGGTCTTCATTGACAGGCTATTCCCTTGCATATGAATCACATTTTCTTTCTTCATCTGTGAGATAATTTTACATCATCGCTTGAATATCATCAATAATATGTGGTGGATAATCTAAATTCTATTTTACCAATCCAAAGGGTATTTATTTATTTATTTTGACAGTTAATTTGGCTTACTCACACTTCAAGCTTTGTCTTCTCCTCAGTGGGTAGCAGCTGATTCTTGTTCAATTCTTTCAGTCTTAGCTGTACTGCTTGGGGAATACCATGGTCAGTGTCATTATGGGTCTATGAGAGATTTCTACAGAATTTATACATAGGATTTTGGAACTCCCCATCTGTGATTCTTTATTTTCAGGAATATCCTGCCTTACATTCCAGCTTCTATTTGAAGTTATTCAAACTTTTGGCCATTCTTCAATGCCAAAAGTTCATGCCTTTATATTAGTTCAGAATTTATGGTTGTTATCTTAGGAGGATTGTTTTATTAAGAGTTAGTTCATTCTTACCAGGTAACAGAAGCAGAGCCTGAGTTTCTGATGTATCTGCATATAGACCATACACGATTTGCTGATGAATTGGATGTAGGAGGTGGTAGTGGCAGGGAGGATGTGGACAAAAGAGTGGAACCAATGGTGATTATTTGTGTTTTGCCTTGAGTAACCGGGAGAATGGTTTTACTCTTTTTTTTTTTTTTGTGATAAAGAAGGCTGGGAAAGGAGCATGTTTGACTGGAATACAAAAGATGTGAAAAATCACATATTTTTAGACATGTTAATTTTTTTTTTTTTTTGAGAGGTTTTCACTATAGGGCATGTGTGCTCGCCAGAGACAGACAGAGAGGCAGAAAGCGAGAAATCACCCCCCAGGCGGGATGGCCACGCCACAATCCCTTCTCCTCCATTCTCCTCTCAGGATCTTGGGCACGCACACACACACGCCTGGCATGAGTTTTAAGCCACCAGTCCGGGACACAAACCGCGGTTGACTACGTGGGAGTCCAGCAACATAGCCATTACGCTAACTGCTGGTCCTATAGACATGTTAAATTTGAGATGCTTTCTAGATATTAAGCTGGAAAGGTCAGCAAGGTGTCCAGATGTGAGAATCTGGAATTCAGAGATAGAAGTGAGTCCTAGAGATTCAGATTTAGTCACCAGAAGATAATTGGCGTTTAGAACTGGGAGATGAATGGCTCTCCCTGAGTCTGTAGCTAGTGAAAAAGGGCTATCCCAGCACCATTCTGAGACACTTCAGTATTTAGAAGTCAAGCGGGGGTGAGGAGACTTAGCAAAGAAAATTGAGGAAGAGAAGCCCACATGACAAAGCCCTGAAGACAATAACTCATAGAAGTCAGAGAAGAAAAATTTCAAAGAAGGCCATAGTAGAGACTAAGTTGAATGAGGTAAAGGGTAAAAGAGCAGGGCCTTGGATGAGGCAGGGCAGAGACCTTTCATGGCTTTACGAAGCCAATTCTCCAAATGGTGGTGAGACAAATGGAGTCACCATGACAACAATGAACCCAAAGTGCTTGTTCTTTTTATCTCCACTGCATATTAAGCTGTGAGCTATGGATCCCCCAAAGCAGAAAGGGCCTGCCTGATGAGTGGATGTTTATTATCAATGACAGTGTTTCTGTCCTGACACTTCACCTTGAATTTAGACCCCTGCCCTCTCACGTTAACTGGGTAACCTAACAGCCAAGATCAGAGATGGCGTTTGCTCTGCATGTACTGCAATATGCTTGTCTTCTTCAGAATTAATTAACAGTTGGCTTCATGTTCTTCAGTTAGTAATCTTAGTGTGAATAGGAAGCAGATTCTGAATAGTATCCACAGAGACTTTAGGCTCTTCCTTCGCTTGCTCAGAGTTGCCTGTTCTGTTGTTCAAGTTGGAATTTATAAGGCTCAAGGCTCTAAGTAAAAGCAGTATTGTGGTCGAGAGCATTGTCCCAAGAAACTAGGATTGTCTATGGTTGGAATTTGACAGTTCATGGAAACTTCCATAGAATGAGCATTTGTTTAACCAGTTTGCTTTTACAGGCCTGCTGGAACTCAGACTTGTATTTCATGACATTTCTTTGTAAGGATAGTCATTCTATGAAGGCTTGTTAATATTCAGAGGCAGAAATTTTTGCCTTTAGTTTGGTAATAGTCTACCTTTTTATCCTAGCATTCTGGCACTAACGTTTAGATCTACCTAAAACAAAACACAACAAATGGAACCAACCAAGCCAAGAGCCCTTTGTGCTCATTTTCTGCTAACACTCTGATTTTGGCATCTGGTTTCTGTTACCTTGCAGCTCCCATGTTGGTGTTTAGCATGGTGTTTGCACTCTTCTGCTTTGTCCTCCTGAATTGAATTAAGGCAGTTAGGCCCAGTTCCTGCAGCTGTGCCACATTACTGGCTTCGTTGTTCATCATTCATTAAGCCTACCTGTCTTTATGGCAGGTTTTATAGTCTATTCCAAGAAGACTCCAGTCTAAGCCCTGGCAATAACAAAAGTGTGAATTCCAGCCCTCATAGTGTAGCATTGGCGATCATACAGGACAATTCAGATGTTCTCTTATGTAGGACCTCGGAGGTTCACCTACCTGTTCTCCCATCTCCATCTGTTCTCTTATTTTTATCAATAATTCTTACAGGATTTACTCTTTTTGTTTTTGTTCTTTTTAGGTTTTTGCCATAGGGTGTGTGTGCCCACAGGGGAGAGAGAGAGAAAGAGAAAGAGGGAAAGTGGGAAGTCATGTGCGTGCAGTGTTCATAGTGTTTGCAGTGTTCACAGTACGTGCAGTGGGTGCAGTGTTCACAGTGCGCGCAGTGTTCATAGGGTTTGCAGTGTTCACAGTGAGTGAAGTGTTCATTGTGTTTGCAGTGAGTGCAGTGTTTACAGTGCGTGCAGTAAGTGCAGTGATGCAGTGTTTGCAGTGATTGCAGTGCATGCACTGTTCATAGTGCGTACAGTGTTCACAGTGAGTGCTGTGTTTGCAGTGCGTGCAGTGAGCAGTGTTTGCAGGAAGGTGGGCCATGCTGTAATCCCTTCTCCTCCATTCTCCTCTTAAGATCCCGGGCATGCAGGACAAGCATTAGCGTAATGGCTATGTCGCTGAGCTCCCATGTAACCAACCGCGGTTTGAGTCCCATACCTGGTGACTTAAACTCACACTGGGCACATATACGTGCATGCCCAAGATCCCGAGAGGAGAATGGAGGAGAAGGGATTGTGGCGTGGCCATCCTCCCTGGGGGGTGATTTCTCACTTTCTGTCTCTCTCTGTCTTTCTGGGGAGCGCACGCGCACTAAAGCAAAAACCTATCAAAAAAAAAAAAAAAAAAAAAGATCCCGGGCATGCGTGCACACATGCCCAGTGTGATTTTTAAGCCACCAGGTCTGGGACTTGAACTGGTCAGCAATGTGGGAATTTAGTGCCTTAACTACCACACCACCTGCTGGCCCCAGATTTACTGGTTTTGATCCCAAAACTGTTGATCTCAGATTGTAAAGTGAAAAGTAGGTAACTTTCATTTCTATTCAATTTATACTCTCTCTCATAGGAGTAGCCATTCCTGCCTTTTATCACAGCAGAATAAAAAACATTGGGGTATTACGAAGGTCAGCATAGTAAGCGGCTGACCCTTGGGAACATCTTTTTCTGAAAGTTAGCCATAGGTAGCAGTCAGTCACCCCCGTGAAGAGCTTTGCAGCCGTCTTCCCACTAGCTCCCCTTTCATTGGTTATTTTCATTCTCGTCTTGTCTTTTGCATCAAAAGTGTTTCTATAAATAAATCGGAACAGTTCTCTGACCCAGGACCTTCTGTTATCAGGCCAGAGAAATTGGGACCATTTCCACATAAGGCAAATATTTCTAAAGCACATTTTATTATTTAGCCTATCTCAACACCAGTCCTAAGTATAGCAAAATAAACTACCCGGAGTAACCTTTCTGTTCATACCCTAAGGGGTGCAGAGACTTCTACCTGAAAAGTCAGTGCTTTTTAATAATGGGTTAATTCCTTTCTAAAATATTGATTTGCTTTAGTTGAATTGAAAACCATCTCTGCAGGAATCCTGACAATATTTTTTCCCCTTCCGATTAGTTTTGGAACACTGGGGTTGAGTCAGAACAATCTCCATCAGAACTCTTAGGAGTGACTTACAGCCAAATATAAATTATTCATGCTTTGGAGAGGAGACTTGGCAAGGATGAAGGGTCCACGGCTCGTGGTATTGCAAGATAATTGTAGCCATGGTAGTATTTGTTTCCTAATATTGTGTTTCTACATTGAAGTGATGGAGCCTCATCACAGGGAAAGAAATCTACTTGTATGTTTCTTGTTGAATGTAAATGATCCCAACTTCATTATTACAACATTAGAAGTAGCTGTTTCCTGTGGGATCATCGGTTCAGTGATTTTTTTTTTTTTTTAATCTCATGTGGAAGTGGTTTCTGCCCAGGCTAGTGCTGTCTTTTAATAAAGTAAGTTTGTAGGAAGATAAAACATAACAGTGCTAACTTTTAAACATCTAGATCAAAGAATACGAAAAGCTGGACAACGAAGAAGATCGCCTTTGCAGGAGCCGGCAGATTTACGACACCTACATCATGAAGGAGCTTCTCTCCTGTACCCACGTAAGCGCGTCCTCCTGCAGCTTTCCCTCCGTGGACAGGAGTCCGTGTCCCGCGCTCCCAGGGTGAGGGTAAAACAGTGGGCGGGTGTTTAAACAGTGAAGAATGCTTGTTCAGGATGGAACCCGTTTTCCTGTTTGCCGTTTCGTGACGACACTGAGAGCGTATCTGTTGCGTTAGGTAAGTTTAGGTAATCCCAAAAGCTGATATTTCACTGCCCCAACGGATGAAATAGAAAAGTGAATTTATGGGACCAGCGGATGGCATAGTAGCTGCATTGCTGGACTCCCACATAGTTGACTGTGGTTCAAGTCTCGCACTTGGCAGCTTGAAACTCAATACCAGGGGCGTGTGTGCGTGAGTGCCCAAAATCCTTAGAGAATGGAGGAGAAGGGATTGTGGCACAGGCCATGCCCCCTCCCCAACAGGAAGTGATTTCTCACTTTCTGTCTCTCTGTCTCTCTGTTTCTCTGGTGAACACACGCAATGTATAGCAAAAATCTCTCTTTAAAAAATAAGACAAAAGCAGATTTAGATGCACCAAACAAAAGGTCATTTCTTGGCTTTCAGAGGAAATGAAGCTTTATTATTTTACATTTTTGCTACATTGTAATAAGTAGGCTAGTCAACTATTGACCAATACAAATCTTAAAGGGTTTCTTAGATTGAATAAGGAAGATTGTATTATTATGTTAATTTGATTCATTGATAGTTAAATAACATTTTCTTGTCAGTTGGATTAAAAAAATGTAATTTGGTCCTCCGGGTGGTCTAGACTCTCAGGAAATTATCCCTTGGGGCGTAAGTGGAATAATCAGTAATGATAATTTACCTCACAATGTCTCTCTATGGAGACCTTTCCAAGGGTGGGCCCTCACAGCCCTGGCCTGCTCTGTTCAGTAGAACAGCCACTAGCCACATACAACTATTTACATCGAAGATCCAATTAGTTCAAATCAAATGGGATTAAAATGTAAATTTTTCGGTTTCTCACGAGCCACATTTCCGGGGGTTAATAGCCACACGTGGCTGGTGGCTTCTCCCCCAACTATCACGGATGAAGAGCAATTCCGTTGTGACGGAAAAGTTGACGCTGAGCTGGACAGCCCTGGTCACGCGAACGGTGTGTTTCCGTGCTTCTGAATTTACTGCGTTGCTGACGAGGCTCAGGGACACTGGAGTGACTGGCCGAACGTGGCATCTGTCACGTCACTCATCACCTTATTCTCTGCACCCACTTCGCTGGAAGTAGAAAGTTTCCGAGCTGGAACTCATCTTTATGCTCTGAGCCTTGCTGCCTCACTGCAAGTGACTTAGCCCTGGGAGAAGGCCAGATGTTCCATGGGGAAGCCTCTGTACACTTGGTCTCCACATGGCTCAGCCATTTAGAGGGGTTTTCACTATCTTAAAAACATTTTTTTTTCTTGTTCATGAGGGCATGAGTTCGTGTGCATGTGAGATCGGAGGTTAGGGAGAGAGAGCAGCGTCTTCTCCAGGGTCAGGTCACCCTATGAACCCTCTCCCTAGCTACTCCCTGGCCTTTCTCCAAGTTCTCTAGCCCCTTGGATCCTGGACACTTGCACCCATGCCTACTATAGTTCAGGCCGACTGGGCCTGGGACTTGAACCATGGTCACCATGTGGGATCTGCTTCTCTTGAGCAGTGCATTGCCACTGTACCAGGGAACTGGCCCATTGTATGCGGTTTCTCTTCTTTCTGTGCACTGCTAAAGAAGACATGATTCGGGGGAGGGTACAGTGGGTAAGTTTTTTAAGTAAGAACTCCATTCTTTTTGCCCCAGTTTCCCTCTGCTTTGGTTATAGCAAGATTTTTTTTTTTTTAAACCTAGAGCTTTTTACCACTCTGGCTTGGCATTGTAATCCTGGCATTTAATTTTCAGGAGTATTTTTATGCATTCATTTTTCTCTTTTAAAAATGTTCGCTGCAGATGGGTAAATGTGCTGACATTGTAACAAGTCTGAAGGAAGCACATCTCACACAATGGTGTGAAAACCCAATCATCACACTTAGGAACTACAAAGGGGTAAACATTTATTTTTAGGTCAGAGGGCATGTGAACTTGCAAGAGTAAGAAAAAGAGAGAGAGACAGAGAGAGAGAGAGAAAGAGAGAGAGAGAGAGAGAGAGAGAAAGCAATCCCTAAAGAGGCCTGGTCATGCTGCAATCCTTGCCCCCCCCCCATTCTCCATCCCATCACGATCTTGGCACATACGTGTGCACACACCCAGGTGGTTTTCCGAGCTGCGGTGAGTGGGATTGGAACTCTGGGTGGCCATGTGGGATCTGGCATCCTCTGTGTGGTGCTTAACCACTGCACTAAGAGACCAGCCCCATTTCCTCTTATTTTACAGTTTTAGAACCCCATTACCAGGTAATTGAGGGGTAGGTATATTTAATCAGGTGCTAATACAATTCTATATTGTTATTACAGTAATTTGGAACTCTTACAGGATTAACCAAGTCAATTAGGTTCTTCTATGCCCACCACTGTCTTTCTGGACACGTTTAATAACTCTGAATGTTCAGTGGATTGACTACAAATAGTCAACAGATTTTTTTTTTTTTTTTTTGAGAGGTCTTTGCCGTAGGGTGTGTGCGCTCGCCAGAAAGACAGAGAGAGGCAGAGAGACAGAAAACAAGAAATCATCCCCCCAGGGGGGATGTCCACACCACAATCCCTTCTCCATTCTCCTCTCTAAATCTTGGGCATGCATGCATACATGCCCAGTGTGAGTTTAAGCCACCAGGTCCGGGATTCAAACTGCAGTCAACTACATGGGAGTCCAGCGACATTATTGTTTTTAAAGAATTATTTGTTTAATTTTATTTATAATTTAATTTGACCAGAGAGAGACAGAGAGGAAGAAGGGAAGTCAGAAAGCAAACCACCAGGTCTGGGACTCAAACCATGGTTGGTCATGTGTGAGTCTAGCACCTTAATCGCCACTCCACCTGCCGGCCCTTGGTCATACAATTATTGTTGGCTACTGTTTAGTTATTACTGTGTTAAACTATCTCTTGTAATATTGTATGCCATACAGAGTTTCATTCCATTTTGTTATTATTAAAAAGTATTTATCTTTATTTTCCAAAGCCATTCTCAATGGAAGCTGTAGAACATGTACAAAGTCATCTCTCCAAAAAACAAGTGACATCTACTCTTTTTCAGGTAAGATGAAACTAATTCAGAACAAACATGTCTAATCTGCTTAACAGCAGGTCTTCGTGACATCCTTTTTTTGCACACGGACGGAGGGACTGACTGTACGGCTGTGTTCTTCTGTGGAGGTTTGTCTGGAAGCACTGAGACTTGGCATCGCTCAGCTTCTCATTGAAATGCGCTCTTCCACCAACAAGCTTTGCAAAGACTTTCCAGAAAAAGGCCACTGAGCTTTCTAGTAACAATATGTTCTATGTAAATCAAGATGAGACATCATTGGCCTTCTGGTCCCTGTGCGGAGCAGGGACTGTGCCAGGGTTATTTGCAGTCCCACGGCGTGACACTCACAGGGATTGAGTGAGTGGTCGAATTAAATTATAAATAAAATTAAACACCTAACTCTTTCAAAAAAATAATTATACGAGCAAGCATTCTTTAACATTAAGGCTAAATATCTGGATGACCTTTGAGTCACAACTGAGGATGGTGTTTTACCTTGACTTCTCCGTATTGTACCCAGTACAGTCACATGGATTTATATAATACCATGTTGGGACCAGCTGATGGCATAGTCGTTATGTTAGTGGACTCCCATATGGCTGACCACAGTTCTAGTCCTAGACCTGGTGGATTGAGACTCACACTGGGCATGTGTGAGTGTGTGTCCAAGATCCCAGGAGAACGGAGGAGAAAGGATTGTGGTGTGGCCATCTGCCCTGGGGGGTGATTTCTCACTTTCCCTCTCACTGTCTCTGTCTCTCTCTGACAAACACATGCACACCCTAAGGAAAAAAACTCTTAAACAAAAGAGAGAAAAAAATAAAATAAGAAAAAATAAATGACAACACATGGAAAACAAAATGAATAATTTGTAGGCCTGTCTGGGTGCTGCTTTTAAGGTTTAGTGGTTTCTTCTCCTGCCAAGAACGTTTATCGTCATGCCTTCTCTCTGGAGGAGGTCGTGGTTTGCTCAGGTGCTCACGCCGTCCCAGTCACTATTGAATGCGGGCCCTTTCATTGCTCACCCAGCATGGCCTGTGGTCCCTCCTGTTGAACAGTGGCAATGCGATATGTTAAAAGTAGTCTTAAGAATTCCTAGTAACTTTTGTCTTTTTTAAATTATTAGTTTATTTCTTCCATGAGAGAGATACACACACACACACACACACACACACACACACACAGAGAAAGGAAAAGGGGCAGAGAGGCAAAGGGACAGGCATCCTGGCACCCCCTGCAGCATCAGCATGCTGAGACTCGCCCTCGGGGGCAGCAGGTCCATTACAGGCGCATGTACGTGTGCTCGGTGTAGTCAGGGAGGTCCCGGGACGTGAACCCAGGACCTTTCCTATGTGAGTCCGGTTGTGTTACCACTGCACCACCACCTGGCCCCTGGCTTTTGTCTTTATTACCAGAAAGTATGGATTTTTTTGATAAAATATGAAATGAAACGATTGACTCAACAGTTTTTACAAGTAGAAAACCCGTGATAGACCCGTGTAGCCCGTTCATAGATCTTTGAACGCTTGATCTGCTTGGTCTTTTGGAGTCTTGTGAACCTCCCGATGCTTGTAGAGCAGGGGTCCCCAGCCTTCCCAGCACCAGGGACTGGGTTTGTTTAAGACAATCCGTCCGTTGATCGGGGAGGAGGAATTGGCCCCAGGCTGACCCAAGCGCACCACATTCACCATGCACCACGCGGTTTCCACCACGGCCACTTTGCACAGCAGCTCGGTTCCCGCTCCCATGAGAATCCAGTCCAGCTGCTGATCTGACAAGGGCAGGGCCCGAGAGGCAGTGGGAGTGATAGGGAGCAGCTGCAAACACACACGAAGTGTTGCTTACCAGCCTGCCACCCACCCTCTGCTGCGTGGCCCTTGGACTGGCACCAGTCTGTAGCCTGGGACCCCTGTCATAGAGGACTTAACCAAGATAGATATCGTCTGTGGTCATGGAATCAGGATTTCAGAGCTGAAAAGAACTTCACAGGGATAGTTCAGCTTCCTCTTTTCCCAAGGAGGAACCTGGGTTTTTGTGGTTTTAGTGACCAGTCCCAGGGCCCACCCCAGGGCAGTGACAGCCCTGCAAGGTGGCAGTTGTTAGCTTCGTCTCGTGTCCTCTCCCCAGGCTGATCTTTTGTGGCAGGAAGTGAGGCTTCTGCAGGAGCAGTGCTCACCTCCCAGCCTGTTTGGTTCCTGTGGCTTCTGCAGACAACCTACATGCGTCACTTGGTCTGGCCTGTCCACCAGCTAGTCGTTCTCTTTCGTAACCTGTCAGAGCGAGCCTCAGAAAATGTTACATTTGTGTCATTCGATGAGTTTAGGGTATTGAGATATTATCTAAAACTACCTAATTGACTCAAGGCGGAACTGTGGAATGTTGGCGCTTTGCCTGTTACTGACATCAAGCTCGTGGAAAAGGGAAGTTGATGGTGTTCATTGGTAGTATGTAGGGCAACATGAAGCTGGAGTTGTTCTCCAGCAGGGGAGCGTGCTGGGCCCTTACCTTAACCCTAGGATAGCCATGACCTTGCTCAGTGACCTTGTGAATGCACCTGACTGTGGTCCTGTGGGCTCCTTACATGCAGGATGCAGAGTGGGGTTAATCTCCCCCCTGGTTACTTTTAGCTCTACGACTCTAACAGGTAGAAAAACAATAAATAGTTAATTAACGAAATGAACTCTGGGGGCCAGCAGGTGGCGTAGTGGTTACATCACTGGACTCTTACATGGCCAACTGCGGTTTGAGTTCTGGACCGGTGGCTTAAAAAACATACCAACATACCAGCCGTGTGTGTGTGTACGCCTAAGATCCCAGGAGGAGAATGGAGGAGAAAGGATTGTAGTGTCACCCCTCTTGGGATGATTTCATATTTTCCCTCTCACTGTCTCTGTCTCTCTCTCTGGCGAGCACACACACCCTATGGCAAAAACCACTTAAAAATTAACTCTGTAAATCTATTAGCTTTAAGTCTTAAAACTCATGATTAATGCCAATTGCAAACACTTTCAGTGCTTTACAATGCCTACTACATAACTTACAGGGCCTGGTGCAAAAACAGAAACGTAAGACCTCTTATTCAGAAATCATTAAGAATTTCAAGATGGTGACTGCGGAGCATTAAACCAAGCACCAAGTTTTGTAAATCACACACCCGTGGAGCTCGCCCTGGTCATTTAAAAAGTATCTGTCTGTGATGGGTCAGCTCCATGGCCTAGTGGCGAAGGGAGCTGAATTGCACATGGTTGACTGCAGTGTTCGAGCCCTGGAGCTGGTGGCTTGAAAAACACATCAAGTGTGTGTATGAGCTTGTCCAAAATCCCGACAGGATGGAGAGTTGGAGGAAAAGGGTTGTGGTGTGACCACGCCCCATTGGGGGATGCTTGCTCCGTCTCCCTCTCTTTCTCTCTCTCTCTCTGGCAAGCACACACACCCTCTGGAAAATTAAAAAAATAATAAAATAAAGTGTTTGTGACTTGCCAGGAGACAGTGGGGATGCAGTGACAAATAGGGTAGACTTGTCCCCATCTTCATGAATTTAGAATTGTAGGTAACTGCTAAGTCAATAATCATGGTGGTAACTCCAGTAGTGAAGATGGGACAAGCGTGGCAACAGGCAAGTTCAAGGACAAGGATAAGGAAGGACAGGGACAAGATGCCATGAGGGTGCCTAAGTGGGAGGCCCACCTAGTCCGCGTCTCCCTGGTCGGTGTTCTTACTTTCATCCCTTCCTGTTTATGCAATGTGGAATTTCTTTTCCATCCTTTCCAGCCATACATAGAAGAAATCTGTGAAAGTCTTCAAGGCGATGTTTTCCAAAAGTTTATGGAAAGGTAGGAAACTTTATGCACATATATATATGTACATATGTATATAATCTTGTGTGGTTGAGGTGTCCCTCATTTTCCCAGTAAGAGCTGTCCTTGAAATGTGTGTTAAGTTGTTCACGCAACAAGTATTTACTGAGCACGTTCCATGTGCCAGGCTTTGTGTTAGACTGTTTCCTCAGCACTTTACGGGATAACTTCGTTTTGTTTATCTCAGTATCGCTTTGGTTGTCACTTTGCTTTAAGATGGTCTAAAATTGAAATAGACTAGGGGACCTTCATTTTAAAGGTACCTTATTGAGAGACCTCTGCTAATGCAAGGACAACAAGAATTTATTTGATTCATTTGTTGGGAGTTTGAAATCATGTCTCCCAGAGTGGGACAGGCTTGCCCTTGACTCTGTAGGAATGAAATTTAAGGGCAGAGGTCCGTGTCTGTTTGTGATTGTATTCCTCACTAATATACTTACTAAATACAAGGGGTCTTCAAAAAAGTGTATGGAAAATGCATATTATGAAAGCAATTTTCATGGATGTCAGATTTTTTTTTTTTTTTTTGCCTCACAAGAAGCTCAAACTTTAATTCCATTTTCTAATGAACTGTTTGAAGTTCCCTTGTATGTGCTTTGGGTCACTCAAATGATGTAGTATGTTTGTCATCTATTCTGAAAATTTTCAGTGACACCCATACAGATGTTCAGCTCGTATGCCTTCCAGATACCTATCTGTTAACCCTTCGGCACGTTGACCATGCCTGTGACATGCACCACTGCGTATTCGTTCAACAAGTACTTTTGGACCATGGACTATGTGCCAGGCTTTGTGTTAGGCTTTTGTGTGTGACCTTACCAGATATAGACAGAGAGAGAGATATATATAAAGTGAGAGAGCATCCCTCAGGGGGATGCCCACACCACAATCCTACCTCTCCTCCAGTCTCCTCTCGGGATTTAGGGCATGCACGCACAGATGCCAGTGTGATTTTCAAGTTGCCAAGTCCGGGACTCAAACCATACACGGTCAGCCACGTAGGATCCAGCACCTTAACTTCCATGCCACCTGCTGGCCTCAGTTGGACTTTCTAAAACTGAACCTGCGTTCACACTGACATGTACTCCGCGATTTCTAGACAGCTGGCACAGCGATTGCGCCTCATCGCTAGAGCTGCACACAGCTGCGTGGTAATTGCAGCTGAAGCGCGAATGCTGCTTCACTGCAGTTTCTCCTCCGCGTCGTCACAGGACCAAAGCAGTTACAGGGAAGCTGTACTGTGTCTCTGTTAGAGTCCAGAGAGGATCTTATGCTGGAGTAGAGTCAATACTTTAGGAAACTCTTGTTCATGCAAATGATTACACTTTTCTGATTAGTCATAGAAACGTCACCAAAAAGCAACAGAATTAAACTGAGGGGATGGGTTATTGGTTCAGTTCTGGTTTCAGCTGAGTCCTGGGCCATGCCCATTGCCCTTGGTTCTAAAAGCTGACGTTTCCCAACGCTTAGGAAACCCAGCTTTTATGTGATCCTTGGAAGAAAGGGGAGAGAGATGGGGAAGAAGTTTTTTCCCCATATATTTTGTAATTCTGCTGTGTGACCGTGTGCTCACTACCAGGCTGACGCTCACAGTCCTTCCCCCGAAGTCAGCTTGTGAAGCTGTTTGCACTTTAGGCCAGCGTGCAGCACTGGATTTTCTGCGTCATTTACTATTTTATATATGTGGAATAATTTTTAAAGTAATGTGTTCATTTTTATACCTTCTTAGTTTGTTTTATATGAATGCATTATCAAATTACAAAACGAACTGTCAGGTCATGAGTTTGGCGTTTTGATTTTGAAAAGGGCAGGTGCTCCATAGCTACAGTCATGCAGGCCTTGACGTCGTCATGAGTGAGCACACCAAGGGCCTTTCTGGTCGGGGGTTTCTTGGTGGCCACAAGGCAGACTGATAGTACGGAGGAGGTCCTCTGCAGTGTGGGGACATGTCTCTTCGCTATCTCCTGAAGCCCTGGGCAAGGAGCTGGGGTTAAGTTCCAGGTGGGGCTTTCCTTCTCCTTTTTTATTTTTTTTGAGAGATTTTTGATATAGGGCCCGTGAGCTCGTGAGAGAGACAGAGACAGAAAGCAAGAAATCACCCCCAGGGGGGATGGCCATGCTGCAACCTCTTCTCCATCCTCCTAGAATTTGGGGCACACACATACATGCACATGCACCTGGCATGAGTTTCAAGCCCCTGGGTCCAGGACTTGAACCACAGAACTTGAACCATGGTCGGCCATGTAGGAATCCAGCACCTTAACCACTACATCACCTGCTGGCCCCAAGGGGCTTTTCTTCTTCTAATTGAGCCATGCAAGCCTAGGTCAGGCAGTGAACTTCAGTTGCTCAGTAGTCCAAAGACCGAGTTGGGGATCAGCGTTAAACACACTTCTGTCCCTTCTGAGTGCAGCCCAGTCATTCCTGTGTCTTTAACCTCTGACCTCTTCTCTGAGATTTCTTTAAATCATCTGCAAAAGTTCTGGCTCCCAGAAGCTCTGCAATTGACAGGGCTTTTTCCTCTGCCGTAGTTCCTCTTCTCTGAAGTGCCTCCTTCGTGGAGCAGGCATTGATTAGGAATAGTGCTCAAGTCACTCCTGCGGGGGGGATCAGACTGAGCCTCTGCCTGGGGCCATCTGCACTTCCGAAAGAGGAGTTTATTGCAGCAAATGCCTATTTGAGAAGGAAGCATGTGTTAGTGCCCCCGTCTTGTCTCTCTTCCTACTTGTTAACCCCCTCAACTAGCTGTAAATGCATCAGATCACCATCCCTGACTCAGTTCTGAACCCCGAAATCTGTGAGGAAGGCAAGTAGGAGAGAGGACAGCAAACCAAGAGAATCTTGAAGGCCTGTCTCGGATCGAAAAATGCAAACTACTCCTAAACGTGGTTTTGCCTTTTTCATGCACCACACTTTACAGAACTGTTTGAAGTCACTCTCAGAAAGTCTCAAAATATAATTTTAATTTGCCAACCTCTTAGAGATGTTAGGAGGACCAGCAAAACACTTGAAAAGTCACTTTAGAGTCATTGAATAAAGTTGCTATGTAATGACAAAGGACTGTTCTTCATATTATTAGTCTCAGAAATGTTTGTAAAAGATCCTTATTTTCAAAAGGTCTATTAAGGGATCCCCAGGGAATTGGGATTTTCGGGTGTCTTAAAGCATCCCATTCTAATGCTCCTAATACCTCTAACTTGTAGTACTTCATAAGAACTTCCTCCCTTCCTTACTTCCGAACCCTGAATCCAGGGCCAACAGATGGCATAATGGTTACATCGCTGGACTCTCACATAGCTGACCGTGGTTCGAGTCCTGGACCTGGCAGCTTATAACTCATGCTGGGCTCATGTGAGTGTGTGCCCAAAATCCCGAGAAGAGAATGCAGGAGAAGAGATTGCAGCATAGCCATCCCTCCTAGGGGGTGATTTCTCACTTTCTGTCTCTCTGGTGAGCGCATATGCTCTATAGTAAAAAATCTCTGAAAAAATAAAAATAGAATCCTGAATCCTGTTCATATGTCAGGATACGTGTAAGGGGCTATATGAGACCCCACCATCACCAAGTGTATTCTCTGCTTTTAAGACTTACTTAATTGAGAATGCATTTCTTTTAAAAAAAGTATCTATACACACATACATACATATAACATGTATGTATATATGTTGTGTGTGTGTGTACACATCAGCAGATGGCATAGTGTTATGGTGCTGGACTCCCATATGGTTGACAGCAGTTCAAGTCTCGGACCCGGAGGCTTGAAACCCACACCAGGTGCATGTGTGTGTATCCCGAAAATCCTGAGAGAATGGAGAAGAAAGGATTCCAGCATGGCCATCTCCCTTTGGGGGTGATTTAGCATTTTCTGTCTTTCTCTTTGTCTCTCCAGTGAGCGCACATGCCCTATAGCAAAAACTCTGAAAAAGAAAATATAGGGAACAGCATTTGGCATAATAACTATGTCGCTAAATTCCCATATAACCGACCGTGGTTCAAGTCCCGGACCCGGTGGCTTAAACTCACACTGGGTGCATGTGCGTGTGTACCCAAGATCCCGAGAGGAGAAAGGAGGAGAAGGGATTGCGGTGTGGCCATCCCTCCTGGGGGGAGATTTCTCGCTTTCTGTCTGTCTCTCTGGCGAGTGCATGCGCCCTATAGTAAAAACCTCTCAAAAAATTAAAAAAAAAAAAATTCAGAAAAAAATACATATATATATATGTGTGTGTGTGTGTGTGTGTGTGTGTGAGTGTGTATTTATCTTTAAGTTTTCCATTTCATACGAGGAAGGGAGGGAAGGGAGGAGAGAGGGGCACCAGTCACTGAAGGGCCTCTCCGTGCTGCAATCCTCCCCTAGCCCCCAGCCAGCCAGGACCACAGGCGTGTAGCAGTGTACCCTGCACTAGGGGTAGTGGGATCTGGGCCTGGGCCCCCGTGTGGCTCCAGCTTTATACAGAGGCCCGCTGCTGCCCTACCACTGTGGCTGGACCCGAAGTCAGACACCTTGCAGACAAGTTGCTCTTAAATAAAGAAAAAAAGGTCATTAAAATAATGTCTTTATTAAAATATACGAGATGGAGATTTTCTTGGTAAATGAAGAAAATACCTACCCAGCAATTGTGTAGCTGGTGGGAGTGTATCACTCCTTGTGCCTCATCATTCCTGTCTGAAGGCTTCTCTCCTACACTGTTTTGTATCTTTGGGAGGCAGTTCTTTGAGAGAGGTTTTTGCTATATGGTGCGTGTGCTCATCAGAGAGACAGAGAGAGACAGAGGTGAGAAATCACCCCCCGGGGGGATGGCCATGCCGCAGTCCCTTCTCCTCCATTTTTCTTTCAGGATCTTGGGCATGCACACACTTGCGCCTGGTGTGAGTTTTAAACCACTGGGTCCGGGACTTGAACCATAGTCGTCAGCGTGCAAGTCCAGCAACGTAACCATTATGCCATCTCCTGGTCCCAAGAGGCATTTCTAAGTTGTGATTAGGAGGATGCTGTAGAGACTTTGGGCCTGGGTTTAAACCCTGCTTCACCCACTCTCGCATTGTTTAACTGTGGCCATGCCGCCTCACGTTTCGATGCCTCAGTCTTTTTAGCTTCAAGATGGGTGTCGTGATAGTGCCTGCCGGTGGAGCAGTGGGGAGGAGTAAATGAGCAGGGCCTGGCGCATAATCAGCACCATTTAAGCGTTAGCTACTTTTATAATTACTTGCAAACATTAATTTTTTTTTTTGCATTGTACTGTCCAATATGGTAGCTACCAGCCATATATAGCTGCCGAGCACTTCAAATGGGATTAGTCTAGGGCTGCCCCCATAGCCTGGCAGTTAAGGAAGCGGGATCCCTCATGGCCAGCTGACCTCAGTTTGAATCTTGGCCTCGACTGCTTGAAAACCATGCTGGGCGCATGTGCAGGTTGCTCCAAATCCTGCCAGGACGGAGACGTGGAGGAGGGTTATGTATAGTGTGAGCACGCCTCATCGGGAGGCGCTTTCTCCCCCTCTGCTCTGTCTCTGTCTGGCAAGTGCACGTACCCTCTAGCAATGAAAAACAAAACAAAACAAAACAAAAGAACGTGACTAGTTTAAATTGCTGAAAGTGCAAAATGCACACCAGTTTCAAATACCCAATAAAAAACAAGAATATGGAATATTTTAATAATAATTTCATATTGCCTATGCATTGAAATAATTTTTGATACATTGCGTTACATAAAGTAGGTTATTAAAATTAAATTACGGGTACAGCTCATGTTCTCTCCGGATTGGACGGTGCTGATCGAGAGGGAAATGTCAGCATAGCATGAGGCAATTAAAGGAGAACCATGAAATCCTTCATTTGAGTCATCAAATAATTTGAATTAACCATGAGTACTGGTAAGTGCTTTGTGAAAGAAAAATGTGCAAGGGAACTTAACTAACTCTATTTAAGAAGCAACACAAAATCGTGCAATTCTAGCTTAGTTTATTATATTGTTCTATAAATCCAGTTAATTTGGTATTTAATGTCAGTGATTTTTATTTTATTTTATTATTTTTCTTTTTAGTGACAAGTTCACCAGATTTTGTCAGTGGAAAAATGTAGAATTAAATATTCACGTAAGTATCATCTTGTTCTTTTTTTCTTTTCTTAAATACAAACTTCCTCTGGCTTACCCTAGTGAGAAAATACTTTTTTTTTTTTTTTTTTTCTGGAGCATACTCCCAGAGGATACTCTGCCTAAACAGATGTCCTTCTTAAAGATTTATGGATTTAAAATGCATCTTCCTGTGTTGATGATAAACAACTGGAGTTTTCATTCTCTCTTTTTCCATACTCATAGAAGAATGTGTTTATTTATGTAAGGAGGGACATTTTAAGGAACAGTAGATCCTTTAACAAAAATAGTAGTAAAAATACAAACCTTCTCCTTAATGTCATTCCCATATGTCCTTATCCTTTGCTATTCTCGTAAAGTTCATTTCTTATCACTAAATGTAATAGAACAAATTGGACATAATAATAAAAATGATGGCATCTTTTTTTTTTTTTTGAGAGAGAGATTTTTGCTATAGGGCACACACATTCACCAGTGAGATAGAGAGAGAGAGAGACAGAAAACAAGAAATCACCCCCCCCCGCCCCCCGAGGGGAGGTCACACCACAGTCCCTTCTCCTCCGTTCTCTTGGGATTTTGGGCACGCATGCACATGCACCAGGCGTGAGTTTCAATCCGCCGGGTCTGGGATTAGACATGGCCACCTGAGAGTCCAGCACCTTAATCACGATGCCACCTGCTGGCCCCAATGATGGCATCTTTTTATCAGGTCAAAGTTTCATCTACTCTTTTTTTTAAAAAATTATTTTATTTAACTTTATTTACTCATTTATTTTATTTCATTTTGACCAGAGAGGGACAGAGCAAGAGAGAGAGAAAGTGAGAAAGCAAGCCACCAGGTCCGGGACTTGAACCATGGTCAGCAATGTGGGAGTCCAGTGCCCCTAACCACCACGCCACCTGCTGGCCCCAAAGTTTCATCTACTCTTTAAATGATTTTGAGAATGAGAAAAGCAAGCTTCGGATATAGGCCACTTTCTATTCCGTCTCATCTTTTGGGGTTCAGCATCAGTGATTGCAGGGCATCATCTTCACTTCCGTTAAATGATACTTTGATGCTCTCCTGCCTTCTCCTTCATATCTGGCCTTCATTTGGACTTGCCACTGGCCAGAACAATCAACTAATTTTTTTAGACCATCCTTTCCCGCCGTATTTCCTGGCAGGATTGAGTTGAGAAGCTAGAGCAGTGCCCACACTTAACATAACCTCTCCCCTCAGCTCTGGGTGTTTGGAATGCTTCTGCCCCATGGCTGGCCTCCTGTCCTCGGGGGCCCCGAGCATCACGCACAATATCTGTGGGCCAAATTCAGGCTTACCTGATGCATGCGTGATGTCTTCAGGGTTGTTTGGGAGGAACCCTTCAGGAACTGCACCCTGGGTTTGTGGGGAGGCTTCACCGAGCAGCCATTTTCTCTTCTCAGAGGGCCCGTTCCTATGAACGCAGGATTCACTAACTGCCATTGGACCATTTAATGCTTGTAAAATGATGGAGAAAATGGGGCATCGCTGAGATATTACTAACAGAAGCAAAGCGCTTAGGAATGAAGCTTCTCCATGTCCTTTACTCAGGTCCAGCATTGCCTCCTGCTCCCATGCCCAGCACGCGCGCTCTCCACTCACTGAGGTCCTCAGTTAGAGAACTCACGTGGCTGGCCTTGGCTGGGCTTTCTGATCGCATGGCCCGCTCCTGGGAACACACATACGTGCCCCGACGTGGACTGATTTTGCCCACCATCACGGTTCCTGGAATTGTTGGATGGTTCCCATGCTTTAGGCATTAGGATAGCTGGGGGTTGCTTTTTATTTTGACTAGCAATTCCACACTCCCTTGTCTTCAGTCTGCGCATCTTGTAATCTAAGATTTATGAGAGCAGGAAAACAACCTCACGCACCCGATTCTCCCTCCAGCATCTTCCCACTTGCCTCGTGCACCTTGGAGGTGGAGGCCAAAGAGGGTTACAGAAATCTTTCCGACTCGCACGTCTCATCCTCCAGGTTAAGGAGTCATCAGTCTCAGAAGGGGCAGATCCTTAGGAACCAGCAGTTAGCATAATGGCTATGTTGCTGGACTCCCACGTAGTTGACCGCGGTTTGTGTCCCGGACCCGGTGGCTTAAAACTCACGCCGGGCGCGTGTGCATGCGTGCCCAAGGTCCCGAGAGGAGAACGGAGGAGAAGGGATTGCGGTGTGACCATCCTCCCTGGGGGGTGATTTCTCGCTTTCTGTCTCTATGTCTCTCTCTGTCTGTCTGGCGAGCGCACGCGTCCTATAGTGAAAACCTCTCCCCACCCCCCCCAAAAAAAGAAGGGGCAGATCCTGCCTCCAAATGGCTGTTGTAATTTCTGTATATGCTGTGCATGAATACAGTCTTCGTAGCAGGACAACGTTCTGTTTTCATTTTGTGTTTTGATTTCACAGTTGACGATGAATGACTTCAGCGTACATAGGATTATCGGACGAGGGGGATTTGGTGAAGTTTACGGTTGCCGGAAAGCAGACACCGGAAAGATGTAAGCTTCCTATGCTCACGTATGTCACTGGGACTATTAAGAGGATTTATGTTTGCATCAAAAGAAAATCCCTGTCTAGAAAGTGGAGGGTGTGACCTTGCTCCTGAAGTAACTGACCTCGGAAAGAAACGGGCCGTTGCCTTGTTAAGGCTGGTAAAGAAGCACGCGGAGCTGGAAGTTCAGCAGCCGCCGTGTCTTGGGCGCCCACCATAGTTCAGGCAGTGGGTGAGGAGCCAGGTGCCCAGAGCTGAAGGAGAAACAGTGCCTGACAACCAGGAGCGCCTCAGCATTCAGCCTCCCAGTCCGACCAAACCAGAAAGGATTCTTTGCTTTGCAGAAGACAGACATTCTCTTCTGAATAAAGACCCGAGCACGATTCCATGCGAGCAGTTTGAGGTGACATAGCGTTTCAGGAGACGGCCGTTCCACACATCAGAAATCTGGGGGCTGAAGAGAGGGCAGCCCCATTGAGGATGATCAGTGATCATTCCAGCAACTTCCTTATGGGAAGTCAAGGGGATGGAATTGGGAATGGGTGAGAACCAGGTGGGTGGGTCTCCTGGAAGGCAAACAGTGGCGCGCTTAAGTATGGGGGATTTATTTTATTGTATGTATTTATTTTTTGATCATTAGGAACAGGTTAAGCCAACAGATTTCTTAAAAAGGAGAAAGAAAATGTAGAAGTATGATTGGCTAGGTCCAGAACTCCACGTTTGATTGAAAGACAGGTGCTTAGAACCATGAGCAAGTAGAGTGAAGCTTGGTTTAGAAAATAGCTGAGTCCGTGTAAAAAGGAGTGATGAGGGTCACCTAAGACAGTGCCTGCCCTCCCCCGTTGCCCGTCGCTTAGCCTCTGTTCGGCCGCCCTGTAATTGGGTGCCGACAGCTTTGCCAAGTAGTCCTTTCCATTTTCAGATGGGTCTAATAGTTGGCACTTCAAAAAAAAAATTATGATTTAAAAAAAAATTTATTTGGGAGTTGAAATTTACTCGTCTGTGCTATTTGTCATTCTCCTGCATCAGAGCTTCGTACAGGGTGAACTCACTGGTTGGCTCCCAGAGGTTTGAAATCTGGTGTGGTGCTGAGACGTGAGACACTGTAGCCTAGTGACTAGGAGTGAGGATCCTGCAGTGTCTCCTCAGCTAAGTCCAGCTCAGCTTCCAACTTCCTTTCTTGGACAAAATTTGTGACCTTGCTGAGCCTCCACATCCCGCTGTAAGCAGGGGTCATAAAAGTAACGACCTGCTGAGAGTTACAATGTAATTGTAAATATGATACATCCGCATAGCACTTGGAATGTTGCTTTTCTTATAGCAAGTGCTGGAAGATAAGAGTGTGCTTAGAGCCCGGTAGAGCCCTGGCCACAAGAAGGTTCTTCCCATATATTTGTACAGAAAACTTTGCGATCCTAAGTGGTGCACATGTTGTTTGTTACATTTCAATAAATGTTTCTAGTTTTGCTTCATCAGTGCAGCTGTTGGAAGGATTTAGAATGTCTAGTCTATCTTATGATGTTGCAGAATTAAATCATTTCAGTTTATCTCTTTGTATCATATTATTTCAATGAATTCTCAGAAACAGCCAGCATGTGCTAAATGGCCTCTGTTTTATAGATGAAGAGCAGACACATGTAGAGATTTATACAGCTAGAAGGTGGTTAAGTGTCAGGTCCTAAGAACCCTTGCCTATGCCCTTGCCAGTCTCCTGGCTGCCAATTATACATGCATTGGCTCTATCAGTCTCCTTCCCCTTAGTAATTTTAGTTCAACTCGTATACTATGAACTGTCATTTACGTCTTCAGACACCTATCCCAGTAACGCTTTGAGGGCATTCAATGGGAGCCTGAGAATGCACCTGCCTACGCAGTGGCCCAAGGCGTGTGGGTACTGTTTGCACTGGTCTGAAATTTAAAGTTTTTATTAAAAGCTATCCTGGTTGAGAGTGGCAGTAGCATGAAGTACTTTGAAAATTCTTTGTCATAGTAGTGAAATACTGGAAGAACACAACACAGCGTTTTTAATGTTTGATAATGAAGGAGAAGAATGTCTCATCAGTTGAATTCGTTATAGGAACTCATGGAAAAGTGGGTAAAGATATCAAATGTGAGCACTTATCTCAGTTTTTCTGTAACTCATAGCATACATTATGATCAGTAAGAAATAGGTGGATTTCCTGTGTCCTCCCACACGGATACAGCAGGCCATAGGGATCATTGAGCTCCATGGAAGAATCCATCAGTGGGAATGGATAGTCACACATACAGAATTTACGGCCCTGAAATAATTGTAAAAATACTTTCAAAATATCTCTTTTAACCTTTTGTTGTCACGCTGGAAAAGCAGTCTCTCTTTTTTTTTTAAAAGAGTTGTTTATTTAATTTTATTTATCATTATTATTACATTTAAAAAAATATTTTCCGAGTTTATTCATGAAGTATTCTTCCAATGATCCCCCACAAAACTACTTCTAAAGAAGGTTTTTAACTATATTGATGATTTTGAAATAAGCACAGCAACAACACGAAGGCAAAGAATCTTTTTTTTTTTGTCAGAAACGTTTCGATGTGAAGTTACCTCTTTTCACACTGTGGCTGTCAGTTCTGGGTGAGCCAGGCGGGCCGCTTCCTTCCCCGTCCCATGGTCCTCTTGCCCTGATCTTGCTCAGACGGCGTCTCTCCCGTGTACAGCACCACGGCCTCCATGGCAGGAGCCTTGAAAGGGCTCCCTTCCTGGTTCCCTAGCTGCCGTCTGATGCCTTCAGTCCCCTTGCGCACCTCCTCCTGTTTCCGTTTCAGATGACCACATTCGGGACTCCCGTCTATATCGTTCTTAACTTCTAGAAGCTTCTGAGGGTTTCTTCTCCCACACCGGTGAACTTCAGGGCTGCGTCTGCTTGTGGGAGCTGCCATCCTAAAGATACTGTCCAAAAGGCTGGCATTCTCCTCACTCGGACTGGTAGCACCTGCTGGCTCTGTAAATATGGCTGGGCCCTCAAGTGCTAATGCTGGTCCCCACGGAGGACGAGGACTAGGGAAGCCTAGCCGGCTCTGCTGAAGCCTCCGCTGCAGTCCTTCCCAACAGTTTCCCAGCGGCCCCCGGGGCACCTGGCCACAGCGAGCCACCAGCACCAGCATGGCCAGTGCCATCTTTCTCGTTAGATGGGACCCACTAAACAGCCTTATTATTACATTTGATACAGGCATGAAAGAGAGAAAGAGAGACAGAGACAGAGAGAAAGGGAGTGAGAAAGTGAGAAAGCAAGCCACCAGGTCTGGGATTTGAACCCCGGTCCGAGTCCAGCACTCTGACCACCATGCCACCTGCTGGCCACATTCTGCTTTCTTAAACCTGTGATTATAGATTATACGCCATAACTTCCCTATACTTTCTTAATATATTTTTATTCCAAATTTTCAAAAGTCCTACATTGTCATCTGGTTCTTCTTAATTCACTGAAACCAAATACACACACACACACACACATACACACACACACACACACACACGTGTATATATATCTTATTGATTCTTTTTATTTAAAATATGGTCACCTAAATATCAAAATTAAAGCCAAATCCATAAAATAGAATTTTAGGACGTGCTCTTTAGAACACGTGCCCTCTCTTCCCGTTTCGCTGGTTGTTACTCTTTTAAAGTCCGACACTCCCCTTCCTGATGGACTCACAGTTGCACCTGCTGAATTTGGGCATGTGCACCCCCGTCCCCATCACCTGTAGTCCGAGGTGGCAACGATACCCACAGAAAATGTATTTCATCAAATTTATTTATATCCGCCTACGCTGCATTTAACTGAGACGTCTCTCCATATACTGATAGGAATACCCTAGGTATCATTTTTTTCTCATAATACATACAAAGGAAGCGTACCCCTTCCCGGCACCTGGGGGCCATGCCACTTTCTGAACACGTCGCCTGCGTTTACGGAAACGGTCCCCGTAGGACGTCGTCGTTCCAATGAGTCTAGACGTGGTCGCAGTTGAGGTTGTTCAGTCACGTTTCCGTCTCCAGGTATGCAATGAAATGCTTGGACAAGAAGAGGATCAAGATGAAGCAAGGGGAGACGCTAGCCTTGAACGAGAGGATCATGCTGTCTCTTGTCAGCACGGGGGTAAGTGCTCAGTTTCCGGCCTTGCTTTTAAAGCATTGTTTGGGAAAAAAAAACAAAACAACACACAACAACAAACTTTGCTCGTCCTATACTGGGTAATTTTTCGTCCTTGTTTTCTGGCTAGTCACAGGGCGGGCCAGCTTTTGGATGGGTCAGAATTTGAGGTGATCTCTCATTTGACCCGGGAAGCTAAGGAGTACTAGCGACCGTCATTACGCACGACTTCTCCCTGTAGAACCCCTTTATTTGCCATTGAGGTCCTTGTTTGAAGATGGCCGAAGAGAATCCTAACAGGAAAAAAAAAAATCATTGGACTTTGATCAAGACGAGACTAAATGAGAAGTATTAACCTAGAGAGAAAAAGAAAGAAAGAAGGAGCTCCCACTGCTTGTAATCAAACACAGGAAGCGACGTGGGGTAGTCAGGTCTGAAGCGTCCTTCTGGGCCCTCCCTAGTCAGCGTTTCACTCCCAGGTGACTTTTTATCAGCCTGGCGCTTGCTGCCCCTCACTGCTGTGGGCTCCGGCCGTTTCCACTTCTGGCACGTTTCTCTGCATTCGCCTATTCTTTATTTTTTATTTCCTTTTTCTTTCTTTATTATGATACAGAGTGCTTGTGTGCATGGAAGGGGGGTAAGAAGAAGGGCCTCCACAGGGTCGCACTGTGCCACATCCCATTTCCCCAGCCCTGCAGCCCCTCAGGGTCCTGGGCACTTGTGTGCACACTTGGCTGTTTTCAGGCTGGTCTCGGGCTCTGAACCCATGGTCGGCCGTCCGGATTCTAGTCTCACGAGACACTTGCGTTTCTGCTGCACCACAGCGTCTCGGCCTCTTCGGACCTCTCATTTGTATGTCAAGTTATTATTTTTAGTTCCACATTAGTTGAATTGATATTTTACTCTGTGTTTACTTGCAAAAGAGCTTCCTGGTCTACCTTTGTTGTTTGTTTGTTTGTTAGTGGAATTGCCCAGGATCAAAACCTCGACTTTTATTTTTCTGTATAGATGCTAGTGTTTAAAAGACACTGCCAGAGAAACCCCCTCCCAGAAGCCTGTGTGTACTGGCATGGTGGCTAGCCAGTGGCAGATTAGGCCGGGGGGGGGGGGCAAGACAGAGGCGAGGGATGGCACGGGGTGTGGGGGGCCT